CGTGTGTGTGTGTGTGTGTGTGTGTGTGTGTGTGTGTCGTCACGTATAAGTGACGCGATCGCGATTAGTCATCTGAAATTAACATGGTTTTCGATCTCGAAAGGGAACGCCTAGGGGCATTCTCTGTCGTAACGAGCATAATCGTCTTGAGCAATGATCACGCATAAAGATCACCAAATGACCTATCTCGCAAAAATATAAAGTATAAATTTCTTTTTAAATCATTGTGATGAGCGCTTTCATCACTATCACTTTCCGAGACTAACCTCTTCGAAATTCTCAAAAAATTCCCGAATCTACATTAATTAAACATGAAAACGAGCAGATACACAAGTTGTATTTTTTTCAATGAAGAAAAATTCGGTTTCGTATCAATGCAAATGACAGAAAAATCTCGCTACTTTTCACTAGGAAAAATGTTTTGTTTTGTGAACCAAAATTTTATTAAAACGACACAGTAATTTGATTAAAATTCAATTTTGTAGTTTTGTTCGATAAATATACCGAACCATTTAGTCAGTATAAACTATTATTTTTTTATAATAACAAATAAGTATTTTTTTGTCATTTACATTTCATTCCTATTACTATTAATTTTGTCATAACAATCAAAAGATGTTAACAAAATGAATTTTTCTTTATCTTTTTTTTATATCAACAATTTTATCATATGGTGTACTCAATTATTTATAAATTCACATTTACGAAAATAATAGCTTCACTATATATAAAATGTTATTTAAAATAGAGAAATGTATTTTGCAAAAACAACTAAATTTTCTGTTATATAAAGCAAAAAACATTGAACTGCTGTTAAAGAATATTTCTACTAAACAATTTTGCTGAAGGCAACGTAAATTTTTTTTTCCTAGTGTTTCAGTTGATAGGTTCATTAAACATCAAATATACTAATTATAGTTTTTCGATAACACATTCGACAAAGTTGGTAGTCCTACGTTCATTTCTCACATAAAAAAATGCAAAAGGGTAAAAGAAGGGTGCAGCATGGCGCCTGACCGAGCGGTGAAAAACCGGTCAATCAATGCTACACGAAAGGAGGCAGCTGCGTGGCCCTTTTTACCCCAGTCTCTTCTTTCTCATCGAAATCGTAATGCCAGACAGAGGGCCCGTTTCCTCCAAAGCAGGTAAAGTAAGCTATAACCCCGGAAGTTGGCTGTAAAGCGATCCGTTCCGCGCGCATCCGGCGTATTCACTCGGTCGCTTTTTCCACACCCCATTCACAGTAAATCCGCTTTTTCCGGATTTTCGTGTTCCGCGTCGGATGTGACAAACAAATCAGTGCCGAGAGATCTCGCGGAGAAATCCGGCGACAAAGACGTACATCGTGTACAAATCGAGAGAGAGAGAGAGATCGGGGATGTGCGGTCGTTACTTCGAAAAATACCGGGATTACCTCGAAAAGGAGAGCCGATCGCTGTCACGTGCGTCTCTCAATTTCCCAATGCGGTGAAGCCGTATTCGTGAAATTAACCGCGGCAACGACTTAATCCTAGACCGAGCGAAGCTGTGCCTTTCTTCAATCTGACCGAGCGAAGCTGTGCCTTTCTTCAATCTGACTCCTGCGATCGAAACGGTCCTCGAAAATATTGTCGGAGAGCTGGAGGAAAAGATGTTTACAAAACAAAATTTTGGAGAAACGTAAACATCTAAAGATTCTTTCCAAAGTTCGTTTTCAGAGTTTGGAAATGACGTACTTACTTTTTTAGATAATAAACTGGCGTTACCCTTTCTTAACCGTAACGATAACATAGTTACATTTTTTTCAATATCAATCAATAATAATGAATTTAACAGTTACTTTTACCATTACTTTTTATATTTTGAATCTATGACATAATTTTTATATATTCAATGTTCAATTTTCGATTGACATTCATAGTTATTATATTTAAGACTATTTTAAGAATAGTTTATCATTAAACCAATCCCAAAAACAGATTTTATAAATACCATCTTGTTTGTAAATGAAAAGGTATGTGAAAAGTATGTGATAGAAAAAAATGTAAATTTGGCTGTATTTTTGAATATAATGCAAACCACAATCTTTTTTATTTAAATGTTGAGTATTTTAATATCTTCGAATAACAGTAACGAGTTATTTCTAAAAAAATTCCCAACTTTCCCTGATTCTTTGTTAGACCCTACGCAAAATGAGGAAAAGATATTAGGAATAAATATTAAATTTTGAAAATAAAGATTCGGATTAAAGATTGAACGTAACGCACAGAATTCAAGTAAATATAAGATATGGAATTTTCATTTCCAAAAATTAATATTTATTCCTGTTTCCTAAAATTTCCTCCATTGTACGCAAGATCGTATGATGAATATACTGCCATTCGTAATATTTCCTCGTTTCCTTTGTAATTCGTAGTCGTCGATTAATAGTTCGAATTACAAGGGAGTGTAAAAGATAAGCGCTGCATTTTTGCAAAGCCACTTATCTCTCAAATGTTGCACCACACAAAGACATGACGTGTATTATCTGTCTTCCTGTTTACACTTCACCGAAAACGTCGGGAGTATAGCGTTTATCGTTTTACGTAATAAAATTTCGCAATGTCAGCTTAGTCATTAACATTTTAAATTCTATCGAATATCATACTTTAAAGAACTTATGGCCTCTTCAGATTTTTTTTGACGATTCAATCGACGATTTATCGTGCACCTGTTGCGCAGTTTTAACGAGCCGATTTTTCACGGCTGCGTAGTGTCACATATCTTTCAAGATTTGCGAGAGACAAAAACAAAACATAGCTAATTAATATTTAAAATTTAATATTTAATGTAATTCAATTGTGAAAAGTAATTGTTAAAAACTACTTATAAATTATAAGAAATGCCTAGAAATGTTTAGGTATGTCTTTCAAAATTTGCGAGAGACATTTTACAAAAAAAAAAAAAAAAAGTGAAATATAGTTAATTAATATTTAACGTTTAATGTTAATTAAAATAATTTAATCGTAGGAAGCAATTAAGTTAAAATAAACGGCTGGTTACGACCGCCTAGAAACGTTTTGGATATCTCTCTGGAATTTGTTTGTGCGAACGTTGCGGCAACGTGCGGTACCGGAAGCGGATCGTATAGCGCAATGACGCAATTTCCGGGATGCGGACTTAAGAATTCCGATTCATCGCGCTATCGTCGAAATCCGTTTGCTCAGCCGCTTCCACTATTTTCGTCGCTCTCGCTGTCAGCCATCAATCCGGTTTTAAACCCACGTCGCCGAAACCAACGTCGTCGTTGTTCACCGTTCGCGCTTTTATCGGAGAACGTGCGAGAACGCTTCTGCACATTTCAGCGCTTATCTCTTCCTCCGTAATTCGACGCAATTCTTCGCCGCCGTGATAAAAGCGTCGTCGTACACCGATGGCATCGTAGTCGACACTTGAGATTCAAGGTTTCGAAGTTGTAATTTGTTCCACGATTATGATTACCGATGCTTTTCTGAAAGAGCAAACAGATCTGTGCGCTCTCGAGAACAACGACGGCGGTGTGAAATGTTAAATCGATATCTCGTTATCTCTAAAATTAAAAAGTCGACTTATAACATAAGTACCCAATGCTCGCAAATTATCGTATATATATATATATATAGAATCGTAACAACGTAAACGCTTCGTTAAATATGGGGAATATTATCGAGAAATTGTTTTTATTCGTTCGAAGTGAAAATTGGAAAATTTTCTCAAGGGATTAGTACGGCGTGACGCACTTTATTTGCACAAATCACACGTCGTGCTTTTCACGTTTGTATGCTTAAGAATTTATCCTTATTATCGAGATAAAAATATTTGACGACCCTGAAGCCTTTAGAGACTAGATTGCGAAAATTATATAGCGATCTCTCGCACGGTCCTGTTATCACTTCGCATCGATGATATATTGAAGATAAGTAGGAGGCATTGTTCTCGCAGCGAAAAAAATGTTTCTAGAATTGATTTTCCAGGCGCTGATCGCGCTAACGAGTTACGTTACATCGATCGAAGGCAGATCGGCGAGATTCGCTCGTCGGCCTTCGATTGCTCTCGATAAATCCTCGAACACACGTTCAGCTTGGAGGGATTTAAGCGCGCAACTAGGTCATCCAAGCAAGGATAAGCGTCGCGACAGAGATTTATGATTATGCGCGCGTTGCAGCCGAGGAAAAACCTCGAACGATGTCAAGTTCGATATCTGCCGGCGTTTCAATCAAGAATTTATCGCGTTACACGAAACGTTCGGTAAAAGCCTTCGAAAATGTGAATGAAAATCGAAAATTGATTCGAACCGATAAGATTGAGACGTGGCTCCTTTCCGCATTGGATTGGACTCAATATATTTCTTCCCTATAACACATCCTCTTTTTCACGCTCAATTTAAAAATTAATGATACACGCCCTTTACGGAACATCTCTCGGAGAACAGGTATACACTTCCATATTTTTTTGTCATATGATATTTGATATTTCAATGGCGACAATTTTTTTTATGCGCGTAATCAGTTTTGATTGGGATATCAAAAGCGTATAAGAGTTTATTCGAGGTCTTAACCTGGATTTCTGTAGATTACGTACTTTTTATTAGAGCATAGATTATCGCAGGAATATCCTCGTTTCTGATGTCATCGGACATGTCATATGACAAATCAGAATGTTATACCGCACTTTAACGGAAATCTACTTATCGCAACGCCTTAATTTTTAAATATTCTCTCAAGTATCTCTTAGCGGATAAATTTCAAATGAACTCTACGTCAATGAGGGAAAGCTTTGAAGGAAAAACATTATTGAAAGTTAACTAATGGACGTAGCTTTTTGTGTGTGTGTTTGTGTGTGATGGCTATTAATATTCCTGAAGCTTAGTTAGCCCTAATTCGTGATATCTCAGTCGAATCAATCACCAATCGGATGAAAACTATTAGAAATATTTCCGCGAGCAAAATCTTTACCCCGTCAACTGTTGATTGATCCTTGAAAATTCAAAGAAATCATGAATTATTAGCAATCGGCTGACCTGACCGCGCAAATCAATCAACTTAAACAAGAGATATACGAGGCATATCCGCGATTCGCAAATAAGCAAAAACGACTCGCGAAATATATGGAAATATATGTTGTTGCAACAGAGCCATTTACATCGCCTAGCATAATTTAAGCATTTACGTCAATGCGCGAAATATCCGAAAACCTCTCGTCTCTCTCTCTCTCTCTCTAAAATCGCAGTTACATCAATTTATATGGTGATTAGGATCCTTGATTTTTTTTTTTTTCTTAAAGACGTCCATTTATCTGTTCGGTGAAATAAATATGGGGATGTCGCGATGCTTCCTAAAGAAACGACTATTGCACCATTACTTTCCAGGGCTTTAGGCTGCATATCCGCTAGTGTAACACGCGTGAGCGTTGCGCGCTAGCGCAAACGGTTGCGTTACATTACGGCAGCTCTCGTTACTTCGCCCGCACGGACACGTGCGTGAAAGATGACGCAAGAATGAGAGTACCTTCGCGCTTTGCCATGCAAATGATCCAGTATATATAATATACGTCAGAAAAATTTGCGTCAGCAGAGAAAAGGGTCTAAAAACAATGCAAGAGACGACACGTGGTGCCAGAAAATAATAGATGCAAGAGACTCAAATTAACTCCTATATTTTCCTATTCGGTTGATAATTACGAGAAAAAAAAAACAAACAGAAACGGATGCGTCTACGTGCCCGTTTCTATCATCCTTACCTTGATCTCCACCTTTAATAGAACTTTCGTTAAAAATTAAATTTAGACTTAATGCTGATTTCTATAAACGTTATAACGATTAGCTAAATTTATAATTTATGTGTAATAACTCTAAAAACTGATTGCAAATCGAACATTGATTGGTCCAGTATTGGACCTCTAACGGTCTTATGAATGCTCATGAGACATGTAACGGTGGAGGAAGAGCGATAAAAATTATTAAGTTAAAAATAGATAAGGAAATCATTAATAAGAAACAATCACACAAACATGGTACGAATTTATAGGAGATATTGCCTTGTTTTAAACTAATATTTTGTGGATAACGCGTTGCGCACATGACAGATCAGCGCCTTATTTTTGGAGTGACTTATACGCTCTGATGCAATCGCACCACGTATTGTGCACACACACACACACACACACACAC